AAAAATAAACTTTACCTTTAAAAAATATTCGTTTTTATCAAATAGGGTATCTTCTCCAAATCATAGCTAGTCTAGAAACTATTTAAAATACATCAACGTTAAATAAATGGTTAAAAAAGCATGTTTAATTATATCATGTATTATATAATATTAGGTTTATCGCTTATCTATGCAAGCAAGCGTTAATTGGAATGTAATTATTATCTATTCGAAAATAGGAACTGTTATATATATTTTTTGTATAAATCCATATTCAATTCATTATACCTAGATTTTTTAGAAAAAAAAACATTTATAATAGGTATATGTTTTTTTATGTAAATATAAATAGATAGGTACCTACCTACACAAATAGATTTGTTTAAAAAAATTAATTTTTGTGTTTATTCCTATGTTTTCAGCAAAAATAATGTCTAAAATAAGTAGGTAGGTACTATGAGTAGGTACCTAACTACTTGTCAAACCAAATACATATTTAATAAAATTATTTAATACTATGATACATCAATTAATGATAATCCTATGTAATGTTGTAATGTTGTATTTATAATATTATCACCTACTTATTTAAATTTCTATAATTTCAAAAAGTTTGTATGCATTTTTTATTTATTTGCCAAAATTTATATATTTTTCTATTTTTACTTCAATTTATTATAAATAATATTTTTATGCACAAGTGTTGATATTATTAATAATAATAATAATGAAAATGGCGATTTCAGAGATCGAACCAGGGACCTTTAGATTTGCAGTCTAACGCTTTCCCAACTGAGCTGTTATGCTAGTTATTAAAAGTTCACTAAATGAAAAACTTATATATCAAACGTTATCAAATATATTTATAAAAAAATATTTATCACCCCTTTAATCAATACTATTTTGATATGAAATACATAAAAGTGTTATTTTGTAATGTTGTATTTATAATATTGTCACCTACCTATTTATATTTCTAAAATTTCAGATAGGTTGTTTGCATTTTTTATTTATTTGCCAAAATTTATATATTTTTTCTATTTTTACTTCAATTTGTTATAAATAATATTTTTATGCACAAGTTGTAATAATAAAAAAAAATTGTCGAAGCCAGAGATCGAACCAGGGACCTTTATATTTACAGTCTAACGCTTTCCCAACTGAGCTATTATGCTAGTTAATAAAAGTTTACTAAATGAAAAACTTGTATCAAACGTTATCAAATATATTTCTAAAAAAATATTTATCACCCCTTTAATCATTAATATTTTAATTTGAAATACATAAAAGTGTTATTTTGTAATGTTGTATTTATAATATTGTCACCTACCTATTTATATTTCTAAAATTTCAGATAGGTTGTTTGCATTTTTTATTTATTTGCCAAAATTTATATATTTTTTCTATTTTTACTTCAATTTGTTATAAATAATATTTTTATGCACAAGTTGTAATAATAAAAAAAAATTGTCGAAGCCAGAGATCGAACCAGGGACCTTTATATTTACAGTCTAACGCTTTCCCAACTGAGCTGTTATGCTAGTTAATAAAAGTTTACTAAATGAAAAACTTATATCAAACGTTATCAAATATATTTCTAAAAAAATATTTATCACCCCTTTAATCATTAATATTTTAATTTGAAATACATAAAAGTGTTACTTCGTAATGTTGTATTTATAATATTGTCACCTACCTATTTATATTTCTAAAATTTCAGATAGGTTGTATGCATTTTTTATTTATTTGCCAAAATTTATATATTTTTTCTATTTTTACTTCAATTTGTTATAAATAATATTTTTATGCACAAGTTGTAATAATAAAAAAAAATTGTCGAAGTCAGAGATCGAACCAGGGACCTTTAGATTTACAGTCTAACGCTTTCCCAACTGAGCTGTTATGCTAGTTAATAAAAGTTTACTAAATGAAAAACTTATATCAAACGTTATCAAATATATTTCTAAAAAAATATTTATCACCCCTTTAATCATTAATATTTTAATTTGAAATACATAAAAGTGTTACTTCGTAATGTTGTATTTATAATATTGTCACCTACCTATTTATATTTCTAAAATTTCAGATAGGTTGTATGCATTTTTTATTTATTTGCCAAAATTTATATATTTTTTCTATTTTTACTTCAATTTGTTATAAATAATATTTTTATGCACAAGTTGTAATAATAAAAAAAAATTGTCGAAGTCAGAGATCGAACCAGGGACCTTTAGATTTACAGTCTAACGCTTTCCCAACTGAGCTGTTATGCTAGTTAATAAAAGTTTACTAAATGAAAAACTTATATCAAACGTTATCAAATATATTTCTAAAAAAATATTTATCACCCCTTTAATCATTAATATTTTAATTTGAAATACATAAAAGTGTTACTTCGTAATGTTGTATTTATAATATTGTCACCTACCTATTTATATTTCTAAAATTTCAGATAGGTTGTATGCATTTTTTATTTATTTGCCAAAATTTATATATTTTTTCTATTTTTACTTCAATTTGTTATAAATAATATTTTTATGCACAAGTTGTAATAATAAAAAAAAATTGTCGAAGTCAGAGATCGAACCAGGGACCTTTAGATTTACAGTCTAACGCTTTCCCAACTGAGCTGTTATGCTAGTTAATAAAAGTTTACTAAATGAAAAACTTATATCAAACGTTATCAAATATATTTCTAAAAAAATATTTATCACCCCTTTAATCATTAATATTTTAATTTGAAATACATAAAAGTGTTACTTCGTAATGTTGTATTTATAATATTGTCACCTACTTATTTAAATTTCTATAATTTCAAAAAGGTTGTATGCATTTTTTATTTATTTGCCAAAATTTATATATTTTTCTATTTTTGCTTAAACTTATTATAAATAATATTTTGATGCACAAGTTGTGATATTAGTAATGATAATAATAATAAAAAAAAATTGTCGAAGCCAGAGATCGAACCAGGGACCTTTAGGTTTATAGTCTAAAGCTTTCCCAACTGAGCTGTTATGCTAGTTATTAAAAGTTTACTAAATGAAAAACTTATATCAAACGTTATCAAATATATTTCTAAAATAATATTTATCACCCCTTTAATCAATACTATTTTAATTTGAAATACATAAAAGGGTTATTTTGTAATGTTGTATTTATAATATTGTCACCTACTTATTTATATTTCTATAATTTCAGATAGGTTGTATGCAATTTTTATTTATTTGCCAAAATTTATATATTTTTTTATCCTCAATGATTTATGCGAAACGTCAATGTGAGGTATGTCAAAAGGGAGACGAAAAATGGACAAAAATAGTTTTGTATTTCATCTTACGGAAACAAAGCAAATGTTGTTTACGAAAGCTCTGTTTGTATTGTTAAATGATTTTTGCAAGTAACACGCCAGGTGAGATTTTTTTTGGGAATATTTTATCACCTCTTGGGGTATTGCACTTGACCAATACCTTTTGTACAGGGTGTAATTTTATTCGTCCGATAACGCTCTACCCCCAGAGAGCTCGTATTGATTTTTTTTATGGCTTGGGCACTTGCTATTCAGCCAATCGCGAAATATATTATATAAGTTTAAATTGCATTATCACACTTAGTTACCGAGAAAGTTTTAAATCAAAATTTAAAATTTGTCATAAATCAAAACACCTTTAAATATTTTTTTCTAATATAACCAAGAGCAATATTATATGATCTTTAAACCTACTTTGGAAAAATGTAACCAGTGGCACGCTATCAAAGTTAGTGGCAATTATTCCCCCTATTTTTAACGTTACTGGAACAAACATTTTTTAAATTCTCTCTTCATTTTTAGTTAAAAACGTAAGAACTAATGGAGCTGAAATGTACGCAGTGTTACAGAAATTTGCTTGCATGTACTTAGATAATTTGTAGCGCCTCAGTGTTGCCAGACCTACTGTTTTAACAGTAGATCTACTGTTTTTGTATCTGTTCTACTCCACATAGAAAAATATTTAACTTCAAGATAATCATCATGTTTTGATTTAAAATGCAACAAAAAAATTAATAGGCCGTCATGCATGACGAACACAACGTATTTGAAAGAAATGCCTTTTATTTTTCCTTTTTTTTTGTGTTCCCTGACATTAAGTTTTACAAATTTTATTGTTTTTATTCTTTGTTTAATTTCTAATTTGGATATAAAATCAAAAAATATCTATTTTTTCTTTCTAATATAATTATTTATGGAATTTTTTATTTATTAAACTGAAAATAATCATTGTTTCCCCCTGTTTTTAAATCTACTGTTCAGTTTCGATAACCTACTGTTTTTTCCCACCCATCTACTCTTCTAGCAAATTTTCATCTGGCAACACTGTAGCGCATCAATATTTCTAAATTCTAATGTAGTAAAGTAAGAACGTGTCAAATTTAATTCGTGTAGGTATTTAACAAGATCTTGGTAGGTACGTCAAATTTAAAAAAAAAATTAAGAACGTTTTTGATTTATGGTAAATTTTGGATTTTGATTTAAAACTTTTAACACCCTGTATCTCGGTAACTAAGCTCTCGTTCCTTTTGAGAGGGTATAGCGTTGTCGATCGAATATACTAACACCCTGTATAATATACTTGTAGTCTACCTTTTACTTCATTTTCATTAATATTCCGGAAATTAGTCCCATCGCTATTAAATTACTGTCCTTTTATTTAACATACTCGTGATGTTCTGTTCTAAAAGTTGCGTTTCTACTAGTTATAAATACTATAAGGTCATGCCAAATAAATACATAGAGGGTAAATTTAATAATTTGATAATTTACCCTTCCTGTTTAAATAAAAATGCATCCCTTCATAAATCCTACCTACATGAACAAAATAATAAAATCTTTTTATAAAAATCATAAATAGTCATTCATCTAAATTATGAAACACGTTTTTATCTTACTAACAAGTGTTTTAGTATAATATTACCTTCGACAACTTAAAAAGTTTGCATATCCTTTGAAAAATTCGATATATTAGTGAAAAAAAGTTACTTACAGTTTCTATTTTGTACACAAACAACAGGCGATAGGACACCATTTTTGACGGAGACTTGTGTGAAATTTTTGCAAAATTTAGTTAATGAACCAGCCATTCTAACCTCACTTTTGTATCAATTTTAGTTCAAAACACCGCCCGACGTGTATATACGGACCAGACGAAGTTCAACAACAACATCAACGGGCAATGAAATAGGACGGGCGGTTTTGTAGCGTTTACGGTCACACTAGTGTATATGCGCCGTAGGTTTACACTTCAATGCTAAAACCGTAGTTGCCAGTTAACCTAATTTTTATTAAAATAGATACATACGGATCCGATGAAGGATCCTGAGGTGCGAAATTCACAAAAAATTTTTCAACGCTCAAAAGTAACTAGTTTATATAGTAAATTTTCGAAAAAAAAAATTATGGATGAAGCAGTCTTTTTCGAAAAAAAAAAATTAATTAAAAATTACAATTTTAAGGTTAATAATCACAAAACAATTAGGCATTCCAACGACCTGTCAAACAATAGGTGTCAGTGGGAAATTCTTGTATATTTAAGGGGTTAGCGACATAGTCTTGCAACTTGGACGCTATTTTTATTCGAAGTAGTACTCGTCAAGCCTGCCAATTTATGAAGAAATGTATAGGTGGGTTTTTTAAATATTATTTGTATTGTGTTTGACATAAAATATTTAAATGTAATCCATTATTCATGCTTTTACGTAAAGTAGATAGAATACACCATATGTCGCCACCCTTAAATATACCAAACCTGCCCACTGGTAATTCATTTGTTTGGAATGCCTAATTAGGCATTCCAACGACCTGTCAAACAATATGTGCCAGTGGGAAATTCTTGTATATCTAAAGGGGTAGCGACATAGTCTTGCAACTTGGACACCATGTGTAGCCACCCATAGATATATAACCAAGACAGATAGGATTATTTACAAAATTATTGAAGAATGAACGGTGGTGTCCGCGGTAGAAACTCAATTAGGCATTCCAAACAAATGAATTACCAGTGGGCAGGTTTGGTAGATCTGACGGTTGCGACATACGATGTATTCTATCTACAATACGTAAAATCATGAATAATGGATAACATTTAAATATTTTATATCGAACACTATAAAAATATTAATTAAAAAAACTGCTTGTACATTTTTTTAAAAACTGGCAGGATTGACGACTGATATTTCGAATAAAAATAGCGTCCAAGATGCAAGACTATGTCACTACCCCCTTAGATATACGAGATCTTCCCACTGGCAGGTATTGTTTGACAGGTCGTTGGAATGCCTAATAATCGGATTGAACATTGATGCCACGTTTACGTGCTTTTAACTATAGATATATATAACCAATACAGATTACACAATTTCTGAAGTCAACGCGGATGATCCTCGACAGAAATGCAATATGTGGATAAAATTAAAATATTGATGCCAAGTTTGCGATATTTTTAACTGTAGTAATGTTATTGCGTTTGCTTGAATTACTATTAGGTCTTTAAATTGTCCAAAAAAAATCATGTCTGACAACAGCGGAAGTTGAGTAGACCGCAATTGTGGAGGGTCGTATATTGTTTCATTCATAAAAATTCCTTCGATACAGTACTAGTCCAGGAGCCAGTGAATTTTTTCGTACTTGTTTTCCCGGTACGTGTCTATTTAAATAATCTATTCCCGGTGAACTGTATATTTAAAATGGAACGCCAATCTATTAACAAAAGTAAGCCAGATTGAATTCGCGCATAACGTCACATCGATACAAGTGAGATTGTTTACAAAGTGCCTTTGTAGGCCCATTTTGCCCATTTCATGTATTTGTTTTTAAATCATGTTAAATTACTATTTTTGAAACTCAACAAGGAGAAAATCCAATTAACTCTTCCGTTGTGTATATATATAAGATAAATTAACTGAAGTTTTATTAGTAAAGTATTAATACTAAAATTTTAATGTAATTTACAGAAAATAGCTAGGTATGTATTTGTTTTTAAATAATTTGATAATTTATGAAAAAAGGGACTAAAAGTGGAATGACCAGTGGCCAGTAGGTCAGTCAATACAAAGTATCATATATTTCTATTATAACATAACTAAAATACCTACATCTTTTAATCATAAGGACATAAGTTAAAAACCATTTTAATATATGCATTAGAATGAAGTAATAATAACTTAAAGAGACGAGGTCTTAAAGTAATAGCTGGTACAGCATGTTTTTTAAACGTTTCCTCATTGCTGCTAGAATGAAATCACTATGAAATGTGCTCTAAAAACGGCATTTATAGCAGTCAGTGTTCAGTCTTAGGATCTCTTCCTAAAGCCCTCATCCAAGCTGCATACATATTAAAAAATAATTAAAAAAAACATATTATATACCTATATAGTTTTCGGTTCTGGGTGCCCTAAAAGAGGACACTTAGCCGACAATTTGGCTCAGATAGCTAAAACCCAAAAGTCACACCCCGAACCAGGACGTATTGTTATCCTTTTAAGTAAAAAATAACTACAAATAACTTACCTGAAAAATGAAGGCGTCTAACTTTACACCAAAAAAACCATACACTTTTTCCCATTGTTGCAAGCACCCGATGACGATTAGGTAGATATCAACTAGAAGCATGTACTTAATGGTTATAAAGCTTATTTTAACACAAAAAGAATAAAGCACTAGTCGAAAAGCAGCAATCAAATATAAATAGACCACAATATTAAAATTCAAATTAAAAACTATATAAAAGACAAATACTCTAAAAGCGCAAAAGATCAGAACCAAATAAAATGAATAACCATAATAACCTAAAAATCACACTAAAATTGCAAAAACTATTACTGTAAAATCATGAGATTACATCAATAATGCATATGCGTCGGAGTATCGCAAATGTCAAAAGTACAGTGTTTCCGTGAAAAGTTAGCTATGTTTTTAGCAGTATTATAGGACCATTTCTACCAAGCGCATCCAACGATATTGGCGTTCCACAGTTCACTGTATTTTCCTCACACCTCTAGTATAAATGATTTGACATAACGAAACTAACAATAATTATAATTAATGTAGAGTAATAAGTGATTCGTGAATTCTAAATAAAACAATTATTATATAAAAGTGTAAAAGAAAATGTAATTTATTTCCCTATTTTCTTCTGTAATATCTTCAATTATTATGTTTAATTTCTATAAATAAACCAACTGGTTAGGTGAAACATTGTGATATAAGCTTTTATTTATGTGTCCTATGCGTACACTTTAATATACAAAACACCTGGAACATTCTTTAAATAATTGTGGTCGTAGAAATAATTGTGTACATAACTCGTTTGAAAGTGAATTTTATGCACTTGCCAAATATATTATCCATACAGATTAATCAGACTATTTTTTTACTTAACTTCAGTACATCTCTTACTACTAAAACTATTTTTATCAATGGAAAAAAAGGGCCGTGTTCTCGTATGTTTTGACGCATTTTCGGCCTCAGCTCATCGGATCCCCCCTCTAAATATATATGAATTTTGCTTAGAATTGCTAATCCTACAATTCTCTATTCGTACTTGCTGACTGGGAAAATAAATACCGAAAATCGTCACTGTCTCCTGGACTATACAATAGATGATGATGAGAACTTCACAACAAATACACTTTTATGAATGGCTAGTTGGGGATGTGTCGTCACCCTTAGATATACCAAACCTGCCCACTGGTAATTCATTTGTTTGGAATGCCTAATTACCAGTGTTGCCAGAGCACTCTGAAGGAATGCAATAGATGAACTCTCAAATTTGTATTAAATTTGAAAAAAATGTATTAGACATTTTAGTTAACGTTAATGAACTATACATAAAAAATAGATTCATTGTATTGATATTGATAATTATTGTTTTATGTTTTTAATATACATTTAAACCTATTTATTGATAACAACGACAGTCTTTCAATTATTGTCATAATGCAGCACGAGGATATTTTTGTTCTACATTCTTATAATTTTAGGTTTTTTGCCACAGCAGACTTATTCTGAATTTATCTGCTCATGAGTAGTACCTTTAGCTGTAGTACGATTTAACTGTTCTACTCTTCGTACTACTCATGCGCAATAAACAAACCTTTTATAAACAAACGAAGGAAACAAAATTCGGCCTCCAATGCAAGGTTCAATGATATAAAAAACTTTTTAAGCGTTTGGCCATGCTCAAGAAAATATGTTTGGGATGGACCTAATCAAATAAACATGTTTGGGATGGTATTACTAGTATGAAATAATTAACAATATAGTAGGAACATATAAAATCAAGACACATTTAGGTTCATGTTAGGTTCAAGTTCATCAATCGTTCGAGGCACGTGAAAATGTAATAGATTTATTGGACATGTACTAAAATGTAATAAACCCTTCATAAATGTAATAGATTTGTTACAATTGTAACAAACTGGCAACACTGCTAATTACTATGAATGACAGTTTCTGACTTAAAAATAACAAACGTTGCCAAGTTGTTAATAAAATTATAACTTTAAGGATTATTTGAAATTTCTAAATTACGAGATTATTAAAAAGAAGTAATCAAAACTCATACATTTTTCGTTTGTTTCAAATAGATAAGTACGAGAAAAATCGTATATAAAATGAAAAAAATTAATATATCAACCAAATTCATTTTAAAAATACAGCTCAAAAAAACTACATACAAAATTAAAAAGTGAAATTATTTAAATCACTTAACATGTAATACCTAAAGACAATTTTTTCAAACTTTCTTTCACTCTGATCTCTCGGCTATGCTGTACGGTCTGGTCTGGACACATACGGACTGGAGCTACAAAGCGGTATTCATAGTAACACATTCCGTGCGCATACCGGTCTCTGATTATATATAACAAGAAAACGAAACAACGACTTCCCGTAGGGTGGCGGCTTCGCCGCCACCAACAAAATGTCAACCCATTTCTTGTTATGCCGACCGGAATAGACTCCAACGGCCTGGACACAGCTCAAATTAAAAGGATTGCTGTGATTACTACAAATGTTTTCACTTCGGGAGCCAAGTTCACATTGCGTAAACTCTTTTTTTTTTAAATACTCTGGCTTTCCTCTGATTTCTCGGCTACGTTGTACGGCCTGGAGTCATAGCGGGTTGCGCGTGAACTTTTAACAAATACAATCACAACAAAGTAATAATTAATCTTAAACTGGGAAATTATCAGACAGTGATAAAAATCAACAATATAGTATG